CCACACACCCACTCACCCACACACCCACACACCCACTCACCCACACACCCACTCACCCACACACCCACACACCCACACTCACCCACACACCCACTCACCCACACACCCACACACCCACACATCTGAACACCCACACACCCACTCACCCACACATCTGAACACCCACACACCCACTCACCCACTCACCCACACACCCACTCACCCACTCACCCACACATCTGAACACCCACACACCCATCACTCACCCACCCACCACTCACCCACACACCCACTCACCCACTCACCCACACACCCACCCACCACACACCCACACACCCACACATCTGAACACCCACACACCCACTCACCCACACATCTGAACACCCACACACCCATCACTCACCCACCCACCACTCACCCACACACCCACTCACCCACACACCCACTCACCCACACATCTGAACACCCACACACCCACTCACCCACACACCCACTCACCCACTCACCCACACATCTGAACACCCACACACCCATCACTCACCCACCCACCACTCACCCACACACCCACTCACCCACACACCCACTCACCCACACACCCACTCACCCACACACACACTCACCCACACACACACACCAACACACCCACACACCCGTCACCCACTCACCCACACACCCACTCACCCACTCTGGTCAAAGATCTCACATTGTGACCTTATGTAACCTACATGAGCTCATAATCATGTGTGTACAGAAAATAGGCCTTAGTTAAATATTGATGCTCAGACAGCCATCAGGACCTCTTCATGAATGAGTGTGAAGCAATGATAAGGTTTCCTACCTACTTATGCCTGGTTTCTGCAATGTACGGTACACAGTAACTGGCATTTAAATCGCAAACTCTGTAATACAGATAACTATTTCATAGGAATAAATTTAGCTGAGCGTCAAACTAGGATTTTTACCCCAACAGAGGATTGATTGCTGAATGTTAGGCAAGCTTACGCCATCAGATAAATCTTGTATGCAATAGAGCTTGTCAACAGCATGTCCAGATAACACATTGTCCCGTGTCAGAGCAGATCCCTGTATAACAATGGTGATATGAACATAACTGATAAGTGGTACTTCCTTCCTAGCACGAGAACTACATAGCTGTGAGAGGGGAACATGAAACAGCTGATGACACTATTTGACCTGCAATGCATGATAAATAGAAGTTATCACGGGAGTGTGTTTGGGGATTGTAAATATCCTGCATTAGGAATAAACATTGTATTTAGCGAGCCTTGGTGAGCTAAATTCATAGTGTTTATTCCTAATTCAGAATATTTACCATCCCCCCAAAACACAAGCATGATAACCTCTTTATCATATAATGTCATTCTTTAATTCTGTGCTTGAAAATCGCTTTCCCTCTCTCACAAACATTACTGAAACATTGCGAGTTTTCCTGGAATACGCGCCTTAATATTTATGACGTCACAGGGCAAGTGATGTGTCAGTCGGACAGTCACAGTAGCCAATATAGTTCCAATTGAAATCTGTTTCTTATACAGTGGCGAAGCAACATATACGCAAAGCAACATTTCCTTTTACTTGCTTTTCGCGGCAATCCATCGGTCTGTCCACTAGAGTAGCTGCCCTTTGTCAAAGGGAAGCTACTCTAACCCTAGTCGTCACGGCCACGTTCAGATGTTAACAGTCGGCCTGTTCTGTCATAACGTTAAGAAGTGCAGTCAGATGTACACACAGCGACAAAACCAAACAAGGTAACAATTTAAACATATTACAAGCATAAATATACAAGCACAGATATGGCTACTGATCCCGCTTGGCTAGGCCTAGTGCCCTCGCAAAATTGTTTCGAAATTTCTATCTCCAAAATTGCTAAAACTTATAAAATGCCTTATCTTCATCACAGTTAGACACTGATTTTCAGTATATTAGACTGTTCTTTTGATAACAATAGCAATTATCCCAGTAGTTTATCCAGATTCCCGATGGTTAATTCTGACTCGATCGCCCAATGACGAGGGCGACGCCATGTTTGTTTATAAACAGTGAAAGTAGTCCCTTTGATATTTGCATCTCTATCCGCATATGACCCCAACGGATATCGTTTTTATCCGTTGGCTTTATCCTGCCGAGAAAAATACCCATTATATGATAAAAGAATAAAAATATTTCCACTGATCACATTGTAGTTTAGACAGTGTGTGAGGTAAATGGTTTTTTAGGTCTTTTGCTGTTTAATGCTGCACTATATTCAAGCTATATGATGGCTGTCTGTAAATAATCCAGTCTGAAGCAGACAATCCAGTGATTGATATTGAGAACAACGACCACACCACCAGGATAAGATGACGCTGAGCATGACCACCCAAACCATTTAGTCCAACATTGAAGGGACCCCCACAGGGATCAGTCAAACATTAAAGGAATCCCCACAGGGATCAGTCAAACATTGAAGGAATCTCCACAGGGATCAGTCAAACATTAAAGGAATCCCCACAGGGATCAGTCAAACATTGAAGGAATCTCCACAGGGATCAGTCAAACATTGAAGGAATTTCCACAGGGATCAGTCAAACATTGAAGGAATACACATGGGGTTTGTCAAACATTGAAGGAACCTGCACAGAAATAAATCAAACATTGATGGAATCCCCCCAGGGATCAGTCAAACATTGAAGGAATTTCTGCAGGGATCAGTCAAACATTGAAGGAATCCACATGGTGATCAGTCAAACATTGAAGGAATCTCCACAGGGATCAGTCAAACAATGAAGGAATTTCCAAATGGTGATCAGTCAAACATTGAAAGAATCTCAACAGGGATCAGTCAAACATTGAAGGAATTTCCACAGGGATCAGTCAAACATTGAAGGAATCTCCACAGGGATCAGTCAAACATTAAAGGAATCCCCACAGGGATCAGTCAAACATTGAAGGAATCTCCACAGGGAATAGACAAAAATTGAAAGAATCTCCGAGGGATCAGTCAAACATTGAAGGAATCTCCACAGGGATCAGTCAAACATTGAAGGAACCAGCACAGAATAAATCAAACATTGGTGGAATCCCCACAGAGATCAGTGAAACATTAAAGGAATCTCTGCAGGGATCAGTCAAACATTGAAGGAATCCACATGGTGATCAGTGAATCATTGAAGGCATCACCACAGGGATCAGTCAAACATTGAAGGAATTTCTACAGGGATCAGTCAAACATTGAAGGAATACACATGGGGTTTGTCAAACATTGAAGGAATCTGCACAGAAATAAATCAAACATTGATGGAATCCCCCCAGGGACCAGTCAAACATTGAAGGAATTTCTGCAGGGATCAGTCAAACATTGAAGGAATCCACATGGTGATCAGTCAAACATTGAAGGAATCACCACAGGGATCAGTCAAACAATGAAGGAATTTCCAAATGGTGATCAGTCAAACATTGAAAGAATCTCAACAGGGATCAGTCAAACGTTGAAGGAATTTCCACAGGGATCAGTCAAACATTGAAGGAATCTCCACAGGGATCAGTCAAACATTAAAGGAATCCCCACAGGGATCAGTCAAACATTGAAGGAATCTCCACAGGGATTAGACAAAAATTGAAAGAATCTCCACAGGGATCAGTCAAACATTGAAGGAATCTCCACAGGGATCAGTCAAACATTGAAGGAACCAGCACAGAATAAATCAAACATTGATGGAGTCCGCACAGAGATCAATGAAACATTAAAGGAATCTCTGCAGGGATCAGTCAAACATTGAAGGAATTCACATGGCGATCAGTGAATCATTGAAGGCATCACCACAGGGATCAGTCAAACATTGAAGGAATTTCCACAGGGATCAGTCAAACATTGAAGGAATACACATGGGGTTGGTCAAACATTGAAGGAACCTGCACCGAAATAAATCAAACATTGATGGAATCCCCCCAGGGATCAGTCAAACATTGATGGAACCTGCACAGAAATAAATCAAACATTGATGGAATCCCCCAGGGATCAGTCAAACATTGAAGGAATTTCTGCAGGGATCAGTCAAACATTGAAGGAATCTCCACAGGGATCAGTCAAACATTGAAGGAATCCACATGGTGCTCAGTCAAACATTGAAGAGTCTCCACAGGCATCAGTCAAACATTGAAGGCATCTCCACAGGGGTCAGTCAAACATTAAAGGAATCCACATGGGGATCAGTCAAACATTGAAGGAATTCCCACACGGGGAACAGTCAAACATTGAAGAGTCTCCACAGGGATCAGTCAAACATTGAAGACATCTCCACAGGGATCAGTCAAGCATTGAAGGAATCCACACAGGGATCAGTCAAACATTGAAGGAACATAGAGAAACTACAATGACTACAGAGTGATGTTTTAAGATCTGAGGGGCAGAGTTATATGGATACATGTGATTATTTGCTGGCCTCTTCAAATTCTTTTCCATTGTTTCCGCGAGTCTTGGAAAGAATATGCCTCAGTATTTATAGTGCCCCGTGTACAACAGAGACATCGTCTCTCTGTTGTGAGGGTCGTCATTGACAGATAGCCCGGTATACATGGTAACATGGGAGCCAGCAGCCACATACTGTGGGGATTCAAAGACTTAAACTAAACTTGCTATGACCACCATTTGTCCAGATGCCAAGACACGATAACTTGAATCACGAAAATCACAAATTAGTAACATTTTAACAGCAAAATGACGACCCATTTCATTATACCCCCCCCCCCCCCCCCCCCCGCCCAAATTAGTGTATACTAATCCTCCCCACGTACAACGAACCTGTCATTTGGTCACCCTCCTGTGCCATCCCAACCCAGCAAACGCAACTCACACACCCATCACTCCCCACCCCACACAGCCAAACCTCAACGAATTATTAAATGGGTCTCTAAATGCATTTATGTGTTGTGTGTTGACGCATGGGTAGTTGTCATCTGCTTTTCCAAGACTACAATATTACATTAGAATCTAAAGAGAATATGTTTACACATGTACTTACATCGTAATTTCGAGCTCAGCGATAACAGTTCGGGAATTGACCTTGACCTCTGACCGTGGTTGCGCTTGTCCTTTGAACTTGAGGATAAAGACTTTCCGAAGTAAGCTTCATCAAACTTCTGCAGGTCCTTAGGAGACGCCGGTAGTGGAAACCCATCAGTGTCCCCTGAAATACACGGGTATTCTTTGACTATGTCATGTTTACAGTTGAACTCCTCGGAGCCGGTGATGTAGCTCGAATATTGCACTCTTTTCAGAACAATCCCAAGGGTGACCACCGAACGCCCGTGAATCTGATACCACCATACGAGGCATCATAACTTGACACGATTTATGTCTGATCATATCTGTATGACATTGTTTATGTTGACGGACTGCATTCAACGTTTGGGTTTGTCTTAGTCTGGGAATTCCCCACACGCTCTACTCTTGAGTGAGTGAGTTCAAATTTACGTCTGCAATATTTCAGCTGTTAACGCTTCAGCATGTGGATGTGAAACCAAACGAACTCCACTCAACACTGACGACTGACTAAGTTTAAAGCTATATGTATAAGCTATTTATATGAATCTGAACGTACAACTATACGTTCAACTATACGTATAGCACTATATAGCTCTTTACTGCAATTTATACATTGATCAAAGAACACATATCGATCAGCGAAGTAACGTAACCATTGAGTACAACAATAGAATGTTGCGAAGACTTTGCATTTTCGTATTCGTGATAGCTCCTATTACGTTATCTTGAACCTGGCAATGTCATACTTCTCACAAGACAACTCATCCAAATCACCTACCAACACCTCGGACACGGCAGCGTTGTACACGCCATGGCAACACGCAGCCTGCAAGCGTGGCGATCAGAGACTTCACCTGGACACTGTCTGTTCTAAAAAGGGCCAACTGTTTCCAAAAGTACACCGTGTGTATCCACAAAGTTCATCAATGAACATTAAAATGTGACACCCCCACATTCACAACATACGGTCGTCCGCCCCGCCGTGGAGTACCTGCTCTCGCCACTATTGAATGAATGGCCGCGTAAGATGCCAGACCTGGTCCTGGGGGCACAAACGTGAGACTTTGTGACATGGCCAGACGCGACCTCGGATTACCCACTAATACGCTTTGGTATTTCACAACCTCTACAGCATGGCGTAACGGGGTTGCACAGTTAACATTTGCAGCTGAAGCATGCCGAACAGGATTGGGTAAATTACGGACAATGTTTATTTGAGAGCTAAAGGAAGTGGGCGGGCGTAAAACTACAATTTGTATTTAGTTATCAGAAAAATGGAACAAGAAAGCTCTTCCCTCTTTGTAGGTGTTGTTGCGAAGCCACGAAATGAGGAAAGGAGTCTCTGAAACCAGTACTAAAACTTGGTAACAAGCCTTTAACAAATGATATTGATGAATGCTTTATTCCAAATTAAAATAAGAGGCATCTACTCTACAGTGGGACTACATCAAATTTCAAAACACAGTAGGTTTATCTCCTAATTTTATACCTTTGAAAACGGAAGTCGTGTCTATGATGTCTGCAATTAAAAGAACATACTAAAAGTGGCTTATGTCTATATATAATGGTTTCATGGCGTGTTTAAGCCAGTTATAATGTTGATTAAAGAAGCGATATTTCGCACTGTAGTAGGCCGCGGTGCTTGTGTGTTATCAGTGAAGGACGAATAACAAAAGCTACAGTAATATATATGGATGCAAGATGCAGACTACTGCCACCGACAACCTCATACAAGACCTTGCACTTAACTTTTTGGATACACCGAAACTTCTCTACAATTGTCAGAATAAAGTGATCATCCATTTCATATTGTCATTAGTAAACATAGCAGGCCGTATATGTCCCTCTATAGACATCGATGTAAGCACGTCACAGTCTGGTCATAAAACGTCACATACATGAGACGCACGTACACACAGATTGGAACTGTGGACTCCAGTGTGGGTAACAAAGTTTACGTTTTGTAATAACCTTTGAACCACAAAAAGATAATTACGAATCAGACTTCTTCTTAAGTATAATACCCGACAGTCTCTTTTGTTCTTTCACGCAATGTCAAGGTTTGACGTAGGTATTAGTTCCAGGTAATTCCCTCACAATGTGCAGGCCTCGGGCAGAAGACCCGATCCAGTAAATACAGGGATTACTCAGTCCCGCGGGCCCCGACGTGTAACAATTTGGCAAAGGAATGAAAGAAGGGAACGAAATATTCATAATATTATACTTAACGTTTTGAACCAATAAGGACAGCGGATCTTAGTTGAATGAATGAGCGAACAGACAACCTAATCAATATGTGTTCTATAAATACTACAACCGGGTTTTTTTAGATTTCACAGATGAAGATGTCGATAGTATTTCCCTCAAACAAACGGACCTCTGGTCCTATATGTAAAACAGGAGCTCTCGTTATGATACTACTTGTAATTAGAGACTTCAAACATTTGCTGACAAATCTAACAAGCGTTATTTTATCACAATAGCCAGACGATCTTTGCTCCTACCGCCCTGTTGTTGGTGCTGGGCAGTTTATGGAGTTTATTGATTACAGCGGTCGTCTGCTCGGCACAACCTCCACGTGGAGATTGCCGACTGCTCAGACGGCCAGAATGACAGCAGTACCTGCATCTGTTACAGCTCATCTCGACCCAGACCTGTGGTCACTCGGCGCTGATGGGGGAGACGGGATTGTGTAAAACTCTTCTGGCAGTTCGGATGGTGCACCACATTTCATCATTTGTACATTAGGAAATTCGTCTTGTCAGAATAGTCCTGTCTAACTAACCTCGTGGATTTGAAAATATTGGCTGTTAAGATGAGGTCACCAAGCGAAATCTTTATTACCGGTATGGCGTACACTTACATGCACCAATTCAACAAACACTTGTCTAGTGCCAAGACCGTATACCGATATATGATCTCTGTCTTGAGTAAAGGCCGGTTCCGAGAGCCGCGCGAATACAATAGCGCCTGCATTGACAACAAGTCGCGTGAAATGGGCTTCTACAAAGATCGCCTGTAGCTTGTAAGTTAATAGAAAACGATTAACTTTGGTCAATTGCCGGTCAGTTTAATAATGGCTTAAAACAACAACTTCCCTATATAAGGAGGACTTGAATAGCTACATGGTAAATGATATGACGACAACTGAAGGATTTACGGTAAATGTTTCAGATGTGACAAAGTGAGAGTTATGCCTACTTAAGTAACAGTGTTTAATATTATGGTTATCATGATACATCTCCACACAGGAGAAAACCAGGAGTAAGACGTTTTTGTAACAAATTGTCTTATCAATGATAAAGTATGGTTTTACGCCTTTATTACGCAATATTCCAGCTTTATCACGGCGAGGTATACCAGAAATGGGCTCCACACAATCTTTTCGGAAATCAAAAACGGATCTTCGGCTTGACGATTTAAAGCCTTATCCACAAGGCTGTCTTTCCCTCCTCAATGACAAATAACTCATTGTTTAGGAAAACAACCCACAAATGGAGAGACAAAATCATAGTACGATACAGATACGCAACGCCTTCTAGCTAATGTTGTTATAAACATGTACTGAATCATCTGACTACCTCAGCAAGCCGTTACACCACAAGTCATATGAACGTCGGGAAATGTGGATAGACGGAGTTATGTCCCTTGAAAATAACACCTGACTGTCGAGGAAGAAGCAGCAACAGGAAGACATTTTGAAAGGATACTCTGTTGTATTAATAACGAAACACGACACTGTTCGCCTCGTTATCTCAAGTTACAGTAATTTGAAAAACTGGAATGCGAAAAACATCGAAAAGAGCATCTATTGTATATTATACTGCTGTACCTCTTGAGGACACTTTGCTCCCATCCGACTGTAATATGTTATTCGTTCATCTGTAAATTGTCCGCCCTTTTCCCAAATTTTGGAATTTTACGACAATCTTAAATACTGACTGAAGTTAAAGTAATATGCGCTCCCAGCCCCTGTAAACCAGCTGACAATTAGCAGTAAACACGGAATGTGAACATTTACAAAACATAATTTCAGTCAAGAAAATAGGATGTTAAATATGTTAAAATAGTTATTTTAGCATTTATTTAATAAATATTAAAAAGGTCTACAAACCATCCTCAGTGGCGTTTGGTGCAAACTTCCCTTGAGATTTCGCTCGCCTCAGTCGGAAACACATAGTGTATGGTGACAACCAGACGTCTCAATTATTTGGGTTGACGAACCCACACTTCCAGTGTCAGCATACGAGCAGGCTTTCTACATAGACTTCAACAGGTAGTAGATACGATCACATACAACTGATATAAACTATTGTATTATTATCAATTAAATATCCAAACGTGTTCTGTCATATTTGCTTTCGTTTCCGCAAAGATTTCCAAGCAACGCCTACACAAGCACAGGTAACACCTTCAACCAGTTGTGAAGGTCGATATATACAAATTCTACTCCAAAGTTTAGGATTGGCAGTTTATATGAGCTCTGGTAGCCATTCTCCAATGTGATCCCGTCCGTGTGGCTACAGGTGGCAGGACTTTCAGCAGTGCAGATCACCCCAGTCCACTAGGAAGAATATGTTTGCCTAGTCAACAGTCTCTGGCTTCAGACTCATACATAATAAACTGACTTCAACCACCATTTCCGAGGAAGAAGCAGACATAAACATTCTTCATCCTCTAATTCGTAAGTTAAGTATCCAGAAGAACAGATTGGCCACATTGCGTATGGTGTCCCGATTTACAAAATACCCGCCATGTTTATGCTTCTGACACCGACATATAAATCGTCTCTGAGTTTGGCGCTGGGTCTTACGTGTGAGTTTTATCAGTCCGGGTCTACGTTAGAAAACAAACGTTTTCGGGTGTATAATAGCGTTTGATTGAATTAATATACAATCTTCCTACTTCCTGAGAAAGGTTTTCCGAGGTTGTGCAATCCCGAGTTAAACACACAGTGCACTCGTAACATGTCCTGCTCGTCGTTGATTCATCGATCACCGATTGTCAGAATAACACCCATATATTTCCCATCCTGCTTCAGTCTTATCTCCTAAAAGACTCGTTTTGACTCCAGGAGCAAACTTCCCTTATATTGGTCGTTGCCCAATTGTTCCTTGACGAGTTTTCTAGAGTTTACAAACATGGGTATTCCCGACAAGCTATTGGCCTGTTTTGTTAATATAAATCCTTCAGCAGTATCATGTGAGATGTCGTTTTCACCACACGCATGACCCCGCCCAAATTACTCCATGACATGATAGTGTGGATATCACAACACGGTTAATGAAAATTATACAGCTGGTGTGGATAACACCCATACAACCATACCCTCATGGTATAGATCTCACGGTTTAACCGACACAGAAGTGTTTAATTCCATGAAAAGCACAAGTAACCTTGTAACTAACTTTTCACCACTCGCTAGTATTTAATTTCATGCCATTGCCATAAAGGTTGTCATTGAGCCTAACTAATGATTAACCCATTCCTTAACCACGACCCTAAACATTAATAGACGGTTTACGTCCAAAACACCTATATTCGTTGTAACAGTCAAGTCTACATGTATGCCCAGGGCTGGCAGGATGGTGGTACCAGCGCCCGTACCCCCGTCTCAACTTGCTTTATTGCCCTATAAGCAAGGTTACTGTAACACATCATATGTTAATGGCACGTTTGCTTAACTGTTTTGTTTTGTTTTTAAGTTTTTGTCTGGCTGGCTTCTGAGACCTAACGAAATTACGAACTGTGTCCCAGGTGTGTCTTTAAAGTTGCAGTTGTAGTTGAAGGGCTTAATATAACGAAGTTTGATTGAGAGGATGTAGTTTGGGTTGAGTTGGTTGTGCGTGTTTGTTTGTTTATTTGTGTGTATAAATTTAATGTCCACTAAATATAAAAGCCACATAACTCAAATACGATATTTAATTTTTAAATGTGTTCAGTTTTAAAGATTGTAGTAATAATTAGTTTTGATGTTGTGGTATTAATGAGTTTAGAGATAGTAATATCAATGAGTTTAGAGATTGTAATATCAATGAGTTTAGAGATAGTAGAATCAATGAGTTTAGAGATTGTTATATCAATGAGTTTAGAGATAGTAATATCACTGAGTTTAGAGATAGTAATATCAGTGAGTTTAGAGATAGTTATATCAATGAGTTTAGAGATTGTAGCCTCAACGAGTTTATATATTATATTTTTCAGTTAATTTGATGATTCTCTCGAGGTACGGATTTATATTTCAATATCATTTTAAGTTTGTCTTCTATTAAGGTCAGTTTCAAGACAGTCTTTTCGCAAAGACTTTCGGAAATGCCTACTAATGAGTTGTCTATGGTTTGCCAAAAACATTAATACATAATTGCGCATTGTTTTCAGAAAGGTAGTGAAGATGTCTGCATAGTGATGAGAGATATAGCCTCACACAAGAAGCTACTAACGTCCAGTAGTAAATGAAGCGAGTGGGTGAGTGAGGTTTTACCTGCTTTGAACCGCATTTCAGTGATATCACGTGACGCACCACTTATCACAAACCAAGGTTCATAATCAGGGCGAATCGGAGATTCCAACCAACAACAAGGGGATCCAGGTACGACTAAGCGAGACAACTCTGCTATGACGACGTCTTATACCACTGTGCCAGCCGTGGCCTGAATAAGCAAATGTAAGCTAGTTCCTGATCTATCATGTGGAATGTTGTTCATGACGTCTGCCTTCTTGAAAAAAAGGCCGGAATTATTAGAATGGCGGTATACTTACTCGATGCCGGATGGCAAAAATAGTCACACTTTAACTTTTGTATCATCGCTGCATGGTCACTCTGTCGCGCCTGTCCATCAGCATTTGTCTGACCAGTGGCCGGTACTGTAAATGTCTGCACTGGCGTCATGACAATATATTTCTCTGACACCAAATCACTTTATCTGAACATGTCTGACATTCTCATCTGTAGATGTTGCTACCTTCCGGCCTGCCCCTGTCCGGGATCCCTCACCTCCTCCACATACCCGTGTTGAGAGCCGTCAGACACAGGTGTACTGTTTCCTCCCTGTTGATTTAGGAGACATCTGTGTTGACTGGTCAGCAGTACTAGCTCACGCCAAGGTCACTGCAAACTGGGATACCTACATCGCAATTATTTAAATAGCACACATGCGTTGTATTGTACAGTATTAGAACTATATCAAAGAAACCCGTTTCATCAGTCCAGCTTTATCCGTGTATGTCTGAATTCCGTATGGTCATCAAACCTCTGGGTTTATACCTGTCAGCACAGAAACATCGGAATATCAGAAAATAGGACCAAATTACTCCTGTTGCACAACGTTCCTACAGTTCCGACAGCAGCACCGACCACTGTCTCCACGCTATCACGCTTGGTCATTACCCAATGGAATCAGTAATCCTGAAGATGAAGGACTCGGAAAGTCTACCGACACCTCCTCCATCCACCAGCTCCCCCGATCCGGTCTGGCTGCTTGACGCACGGTTCAGATGGATGGCGCAGTGCTCATCGTCTCCGGACCACAAATATGTCTACCTCATCTCGGGACAGTTCAGGGTCGTAATTAATGAGAGGTGTCGTCTGCGTGACACCCCGCTGTACGCCTGTCATTAAACTGTGGGGTGAAAGGTAGACTTTCTCTCATCTTCGTGGATTTGAATGTTTGAATTCAAATTGAATAATCCAAATGAGAACTTTTGACACAGTGTACGTCGGTCATGAAGATGAAATTTAAAAAAAATAATTTTCAGGTCGTTGGATGCTTTTGTAAATACTTTATGGATTTGGTGTGTCCAGTTGGTGGGCATTGGTTTAATTCGATCACGCGTTACGTCAAACACGTATGTTCGACTCTCTATACACTTGACATAGTTGCTGCTGTTTTTAGTGTTTGCTCTATACAACGAGCGGATTATTGTTAACGTGGCGAAAACTGTAAAAACTTCCTCTTTGGACTTCAGTTATGCTAGGACTATGGTAGAGACCAATCCATAGCTAACTGGCATTGTATCTGATCTTTTATTTCAATTATGTTTACGATTACTATAATGCTGCTAAACTTTGTTAATGCATCTCCCCATGATAGCCCGTTACAACACAGCTGGATGGAATCATTCGACTGTTAAACTCGAATTACTGTGAAGAAGTCAAGAAATGTTTACTTTTCATTTCTACGTATATTCTGACTTAATACAAACATACACAACCTTTAGCGAAATAATTACACTTACACTTCTTATCGCCGGGATGCTAAAGGGTAGTTAACGCACCAGGAGTTGTAAATCAATCATCTTCTCTTTACAAACAGGTAATTCGACAATCAGGTAAGTAGAAACGCACTTCAGTTAAACTTTAGAGTGAAAGCCCGGCTGTGTATTACACGGTTGTCTGCCCGTGGCTAATCCATACAGCACTAACACTCCCCGTGGTTCACCTTTAACCCTGTACTTACGTTCGCCAATCTCCGCTTGCGCTCAAGAATGTATCGGTAACAAGAAATTGTGAACTATAGGCTTGTTAGTCTGTTACAGTTGAGAGTGGGTAACAAGAGGCTAGATTATAGAGACGTAGAATGAAGTGGTAGCCATGTGCAGCCCTGTGTGAGGAACGCTGTTCCTCCGCCCGTATGATGTATTGGAGATCTGTAATCTGTGACACGCACCGTTAACTAACATCAAGCCAATTTCAAGTTTCAAGTTCGTCCTGATTATGTTTCTAGGTTTGTCAACACCAAAAATCAAGCTGATGAGTTTCCACAATGTGGAAAACGTCTAAAACCTGCATCACGTGGGGCTTTCCTTCCACATCAAGCTAATATCGTACGGTTGGAAGTACGACAATACAGGGGATGTATTTCCCCACTTTATGCTTTTGGTTTGGTTTGTTGTTTAACGCCGCACTTAGCAATATTCCAGCTATATGACGGTTGTCTGTAAATAATCAAGTCTGGACCAGACAATCCAGTGATTAATATCATGTGTATCGATCCACGCAATTGGCATCGGTGACATGCATCAACCAAGTCAGCGTGCAGGATCACCCGATCCCGTTGGTCGCCTCTTACGCAGGCTTAGTCGCCTTTCACGGCAAACATGGGTTGCTGTAGACTTATACTAACCCGGACCTTCACGGGTCCCACTTTATGCAATGCTACTTTACTACACTAGTTATCTTCATGTGCCGTTTGACTACAGCATTTATAAAAAAAAAACAAGGTAATAAGCGCCCCGCTCTAATAAGCGCCCACGGCGGTATTTGGCAATACATTTGTATATTGTTTGTATATTGGCTAGTGAACAATCCCAATTAGCACCCCTTCCGATTGATCAATGTACACAAGACAAGCATTTTTTCCTTTTATAATACGCACTCGTCGTATATAAACATTTCAGGCTGTCAGCATAAACCACGAAATTTATCTTTCAACTCTTTTTTCCCCCACCTAAATACTATTCTAATAAGAGCCCCCTATTTCTAATTTCTAGAGGGCCCTGGGCGCTTGTTTCGTCGAATACGGTAAAAATAATAACAACAATATAAATAAAGCATTACTATTATGATTATGATGATGATGATGATGATTATTATTATTATTATTGAAGGCTTTTATATACACAGACCAGTGGGTGACAGTATGATCACCGTCTAGCAGTTAGATCTCACATTGTAAGCAACCAATCCACATTAGTCGGGTCTTACGACAAGCACTGGCGGGAGTCGAAGTGTTAGATCCACTTCAGAGGTTGTGATAACAGGAAGCAAAAAGTAAATATTCCTCATTGAATGGATTCAGAGTGAAATATTTCATTTAGTGTCGAAGCAAATTATGATTTTATGGCGGCTCTGGCAATCTTGACAGATGCGTCCACGCCATATATCACATGTACCTGCCAGAGTGTTCTAGCTGTATTACTCTGATGCTCTATATATGTCAGTTTAAGTTTTAAATGAAGGACCCAG